GAGGAAACAAAGGTCCTTAGCAAACAGGCTCATCCGAGTTCTATAGTCTGAAAACTACAAGTGACCTAAGGAGCAGCTTCTGTCAGAAAGCAAGGAAGCGATGAAAGACTACAGGAGTCAGGCTACAAGCTACAGAGACCATCATCCTGGGGCTCCTGCTGGCCAAACATGACAGATTTTGAGCACACACAGAAGAAGAATTGGTTTCAACAAAGGAAATAGGTAAAAATCCAGGTGTCCATAGAATGGAAAAGAAAAGGAAAGAAAACAAATTAAGAGCTTTTCTCACAGAAGAATGCCAGCTAATAAGCAGGATGGTAAAATAAGAGTATTACCACTTTGCCACCACCCTTGGTATAATGCAGGCAAGAATCGATGGATGCTAAGGTCACTGGGTGAAGTCCATGGGAACAGAATTCACCTGCCAATTATTACCCCACAGACACCTTATGTGAAAGCATACCTTCACACTCGAGAGATGGGCAATAAACTTAGTGTCGGCAACAATGGAACATTCTACATCGTTTACCCCCCAATGTAAAGCACTATTAAGCATACAACTTTACCAAAAAGGTTTTCTCTGCATCCAATCCAGACTCTAGCTACAACTTTAAGTGTATAGGGTAAAGAAAAACAAGTTAAGCAGTATCATGAAAATACAGTCAGAGCACTTCTCCCCAACAAGTCAATGCTATTTTATAAAAAAGCAAAACTATAAAAGGCTAAAAATAATCAACAAATGCAATGAGTAAACCAGAGACGAAAACAGCTATAAAAGAGATTTTTATAGAGTGATGACAGCTGGACATAGAATATTAGATGATTATTGGTGATTGTATAACAAATAACCCCAAACTTAGGGCTAAATACAACAAATGTCTATCATCTCACAGTCCCCCTGGGTCAGGAATGTGGGCATGACTTAGCTGGGTGTTTCTGACTAAAGGCTTCTCATAGTGTTACAGTCACGGTGTTGATCAGGGTGACAGTCATCTCAAGACTCCACAGAAGAATTTGCCTCCATGCTCACTCACATGGTAGCTGACGGGCCTCAGTTCCTGGCCACATGGGCCTTCCAATAGGCTGGCTGAGTGGCCTCACCACATGGCAGTTGGCTCCCATCAAAGAGAGATCAAAAGAGTGTGTCTAAGATAGAAGTCACAGTCTTTTTATAAATCAACTCAAAAGTGACATCCTAACACTTCTGACACATTATAGTCACTGGAAGTGAGTCACTTAGTCCAGCCCACACACAAGGGGAGAGAAATTAAATTCCACATCTCAGGGGAGGAGGACAAAAATCTTGTGGGCTTGGAACCACCACAGATGATCTCATGGCCTTATTGTTAACTATGAGATACAAAAATGGCACTGTGGTTATGTAGGCTAGTGTCCTTACTCTTATGATCATATGCTAAAATAGGTAGATACAATACATATAACATCTGCAAACTATTTTCAAATGGTTGTCCAAATGTGTGTGTGTGTGTGTGTGTGTGTGTGTGTGTGTAAAGTAATAAAACAAATATATCAAGATGGTAACAAGTGTTACATTTTGGTGGATGGGTTCTCATTGTATTCCTTCACTCTTACTATACACTGAGTGGCCAAATTATTACGACCCACCTGATGTTTGTAGGCAAATTAGCCATACATTGCATCATATGGGATATGGAAGCTGAAAGCCTGTTCGAACACCTTTGCTGTCTGCAGTTTCCAAGATAAAATATCTCCAGTTAGCACAGGAACACAAGGATTGGACAGTCAAGGATTGGAAAAAGGTCATGTGTCTGATGAATCACGTTTCCAGTTGCATCATGCAGATAGCAGAGTGAGAATTTCTCGGAAACAGCATGAAAGCATGCACCCCACATGCATGAGTAAAACCCTTCAAGCTGGTGGGGTCAGTGTTATGGTTTGGGGCATTTTTTCCTGGTATAATTTGGGCCCTTTAATTCGTGTGGTACAATGTCTGAATAATACAACATACCTAAGTATCGTTGCTGATCAAGTTTATCGTATTATGTTGATGGTGTATCCCAATGGAAATGGCTTCTTCCAACAAGACAATGTGCCATACTATGGTGCTCGTATTGTACAGGAGTGGTTTCAAGAACATGAGGGAGACTTTACCTTGCTTAGGTGGCCCCCACAATCACCAGATCTCAATTCAATTGAGCATTTGTGGGACGAAGTTAAAAGAGCCATCAGGCAGCTGATTCCACAACCATCAGATCTCACAGAACTGGGCAGTGCTATTCATCAGGCATGATGCCAGATTCCTCGCATCATCTTTCAACATCTCGTGGAGTCAATGCCAAGAAGAATCGCAGTATTGAAAGCAAAAAAGGTAGCCCAACAAAGTACTGATGGGGTGGTCATAACAATCTGGCCACTCCGTGTACACTTAAGTTTTTTCATAAGAAAATGTTGGAGTAGCCCAGCCAGTATGGCTCAGTGATTGAGCATCAACCTATGAACTAGGAGGTCACAGTTCAATTCCCAATCAGGGCACATGCCTGGGTTGCAGGCTCAATCCCCAGTGTGGGGCGTGCAGGAGACAGCCACCCAATGACTCTCTCTCATCATTGATGTTTTTAGCTCTCTCTCCCTCTCCATTCCTCTCTGAAATCAATGAATATTTTTTAAAAGGAAAAGAGATAACGTTGGAGTAAAGTAATTTACTTGATCTTTTCAAATTAGCTAGAACCACAGCAAAGGATTGCTGTGGACTGAATTGTGTCTCCCTGGAATTCATTTGTTGAGGCCCTAATGTCCAGCGTGGTGGTGGTCGGAGATGGAACGCCTGAGAAGCGATTAGGTTTAGCTGACATCATGAGGGTGTTGTCCTCGTGCTGGGATTGGTGCCCTTGGAAGAAGAGACACCGGCCAAAACCGGTTTGGCTCAGTGGATAGAGCGTCTGCTTGGGGACTGAAAGGTCCCGGGTTCAATTCTGGTCAAGGGCATGTACCTTGGTTGCGGGCACATCCCCAGTGGGGGGGGGGGGGTGCAAGAGGCAGCTGATCGATGACTCTCTCTCTCACCGATGTTTCTACAATATCTCTCTCCCTTTCTCTCTGTAAAAAAAGAAGAAGAAGAAGAAGAAGAAGAAGAAGAAGAAGAAGAAGAAGAAGAAGAAGAAGAAGAAGAAGAAGAGACACCGGACATCTTTCTCCCTCTCTGCCACGTGAGGACGCCACAAGAAGGCAGTCATCTGCAAGCCAGGAAGACAACTCTCACCAGGAACCTTCATCTCGCTCTTCCAGCCTCCAGAACTGGGAGAAATAAATGGCCACTGTGTGAGCCACACAGTCTGCGGTATCTGGTATGGCGCCCCACGCTGACTGACACGAGGGCCTTGAAATGATTGAAGCTACTTGGTAACAAGGACAAAACCTTTGCTCTTTTCGGCAAAGCTAATGTGTCAGGAGAAGAAATCCCGTGGTAAGAAGGGATTTGTGATGTGGGGAATTGGGAAGGGCGGGCATGGAAAGTATCATCATTACTGTGGATCGTTTCCCATTCCAACCACCCATCTCACCCAGCTTGGCAGTGACCACTGGAGACATGGAAGGCCTGCAGGGAGACCCCACAAGAATGGCTTCTTGTACTGCATCCCGGTCCAGAATCCCTTGAGCCTGTGGGAGACCACTGGACCTTGGCCCCTCATGGAGCCTGTCTTTTTTTTTTTTTTTAATATTTTATTGATTTTGTAGAGAGGAAGGGAGAGAGATAGAGAGTTAGAAACATCGATGAGAGAGAGTCATCGATCAGCCGCCTCCTGCACATCCCCTACTGGGGATATGCCTGCAACCAAGGCACATGCCCCTGACCGGAATCGAACCCGGGACCTTTCAGTCCCCAAGCCGACGCTCTTCCATTGAGCCAAACCGGTTTCGGCGGAGCCTGTCTTTTTAAGCATCAGTCATTATCTAATTCAAAATTCCGTCCCCTTGACTATTTAATCATCCCCTCTATATTTTAGTAACTGCACTCAGCTCATTTTTGCTTTTAGAATTTGATCATTACTTTTTTATTGTTATTATTATTATTGTTGTTGTTGTTGAAAGTATTACAGGTACCTCCTTTTTCCCCCACTGGCCCCTTATAGCTCACCCCAACCCCTCACCCCAGGCCTTCACCACCCTATTGTCTGTGTCCATGGGCTATGCATATATACATACATGTTCTTACTTTGATCTCTTCCCACCCACCCTCCTCCTTGATCATTACTATTAATCCAAGAATTGTCACAAAAATTTAAAAATACAATTAAAGGTTTATATAGTATTAAAGGATTTACAGTATTAATTCTCATCATTAAACAGGTTCTAGCTATTGAATAAGATCAAGCAACTCACTATAAAAATAACAATTTAGAATTAAGAGCCCCTTTCCTTTGGCAATATGTCTCAAAATTATAATACCCATATTCTTTGACCCCTCAAGTCTGCTTCTAGGAGTCTGTCTTACTGATGTATTCTCACACACAAGATACAAGATTATTGATAGCACCCTTGTATATGATAACATATAGTGTATTGCCTGTGTTAAGAGAAAAACAGTGTACAGAATATGCTGCCCTTGTTAAAAATAAATAAATAAAAGAGTAAGCATATGCACACGTGTATGTGGGATGGTTCTAGAAAGGTATAGAAGAAACCGTTAACAGAGGTTGCCTCTGAGGACAACCGGGTGGCTGGAGGCAGTGGGTAAGGGGAACATTTTTCACCATATTCTATTGTGTCCGTTTAAAATTGCATATCTGGTTCAAAAACATAAATGCTTAAAGTCAGACATTCTCCATGAACCCTGTACTTTTAAGTTCTTCTTTTTGTCCTCGTTTTCTAGCTACACCTCACACAACCCCTCAGAGCCCTGAGCTCCTGCCGGCGCAGCCCCGGAGCCCGGCCTGTGAAGCAGGGGTGCCACCTGCCTCCAGTTTCCCATTTCTGCTCCAGCACCTGCCCCCCGAGGCGCACCCACTTCCCAGCCGTACCTGCTGCAGCCCGGCTCTCTCCTGGGCGCAGGCGGCGGCTCTCTTCTGCTCTCTGTGGGCCTGGGAAACCAGCCGCATGATGGTTTCTCGGCTGGCTTTGGCCTCCACCTCATGGACATTCACGGCCTCTTCAAGAGTAGCAAGCTGTCCTTTCAGAGACGTGTTTTCCGTGCACAGCTCCCTGAGCTGGAGAGAAAGCAATCGCAGCTGTCCCACGGAAGTGACGGGTTCCCACCACTTTCTCCGGGCCACCAGGTCCCTCCCCCGGCCCCATGACCGCACTGTCCCATGCAAACTGTGGGAGCTCTCCCCCTCCATCCACTCTACGGTCACATGTGCCAAGGCTGCCTCTGAACTCAGGGCGGACCCCGTGGGCAAATTAAAATTAATCCAACAGCAGGCACAGAGGAACATTGATGAGAGCTCAGCTAAAAGCTGGCAGACAGGGCAAGCACCCTGCCATCTAAAGAGCTGAGGGAAGGTGATGATCTGCAAGGTGACAGCAGCCACGGCCATGGGCGTGGTGGAAAAAGAGGCACCAGCGTCATGCAAGGCGCAGCCTGACACAGGAGAGAACACAGAGAGAAAGCAGGACTTTTAAAAACAAGTTCTCTGAATGGAGGCAAGCATAGAAAGGTCCTGAATACCTCCAGGTGCCCTAATGAGTCACGACGGGCCAAGTAACCTATGCAGTTTATATGATTAATTTCCATCTTAATGGCAACTCACCATTAAAGTAGGATTATTATTCTGGGGCTTTAATATAATGTTAAATATTTATTCAGAACTCATCTTAATCTTATACTCAAGAAATATCCCCAAAATGATACACACTGTTTTTTGCTGTTGGTGTATGTGTGTTTCTGTCTTAACTCAAAACAAACAAAAATCTTCCTAAAACACACCATTGAAATGAATACCTCATTGTATTTGACAATCTAAGTATATTTTAGATAAACACAATCCCTTCTGGAGAATAATTAATCCCCCAAAATGCTAGAAAGGATCTTGGAACTGAGCCTCGGAGAAGTGACATGGTTTGTTCCGGGTCACATGCCCAATCAACACTACACTTGGGCCCTGTCTCATTCGCTCGCTCTTCACCCCCAGACTCAGTCACAGCTTTTCTTTTCACGGCACATGTCAAAATGACCCCTAAATGTCTTTTTTCATATGCATACAAACACCTTTAGAATTAAATCTTCATCTGATATCCTTTCGTTCTTCTTATCCGGATCTAAGCAGTCCCGGAGACAAGCTAGAAATTCCTCATGTTCCTTGCAATTCTTCGACATCTGATTCTTATTCTCCTCGTTTTCCTTTACACACTTTCTATCAGGCAAATAGCAAATAAGTCATCAAACAAAGTCCAGAACTTAAGGTCTTTATAGGAAAGCATCCCTTTCATCACAATAGTTCCCCAGACACAGAGCACAGTACTGCCATGCAAACCCTGTAAAGGAAGGAGAAAGTGGAAGCAATTCCGAGGCATCTACACTCTGCAGAAATGTAGGGAAATCTTCCTGGCATCTTAGATCTAGTAGCAGCAAGGGGGACAGACAGATTCTCTGTCAGCTGTCCCCAACCTCCTAGGGTGTACACAACCCCATGGGTCTCTGTTGGGGCCTCAGGGAAAGGGGGGCGGGAGGGAGCAGGAGAAGGCTGGCACATTGGTTCTAGGGCACCATGCTTATTTTAGAAGGGTTATTTCCAGCATTCCCTACTTCATGGCCAAGCATAACTATAACAAAAAGTACATCAGGCCCGGCCGACGTGGCTCAGTGCTTGAGCGTCAGCCTATGAAACAAGAGGTCCCGTTCGATTCCCAGTCAAAGCACATGCCTGGCTTGTGGGCTTTATCCCCAGTGTGGGGCGTGCAGGAGACAGCCGATCAGTGATTCTCTCTCATCTATGATGTTTCTCTCGCCTCTCTCCTTCTCCCTTCCTCTCTGAAATAAATAAAAATTAAAAAGTACATCAGAAGCAGGGGGTGTTCCCACCTCTGGAAAAGATCATTATTAATTCTCACACACCTAGAAGTTGTAAAGCATACTGGAAGGGGTCAGTCAAGGAAAATAAGTCAATTTATGCTCTGCTACAAATACTTGATTTCAAATCTCGGGTAGGTTTGCTGAGATAACATGGTCTATTTCTCATGCTTTAACACTTAGAGACTAAGAGATCCTCAAAAAATAGACATATTTTAAAGGCAAATTAGAAATCATTTCAGTAATTTTGTACCATTTTTTTTACTACTCTAGATAATAAACATGATTATTGCTTTCCCTTTCTGCCATGTTGAGTGTTTTCTGCATATTCTTTTCCCTCCATTCAAAGATTAACAAAGCATGTAATTGCATAGACTCAAAAGCATATCATATTCCTATTTAGAAAAATGTATAACAATCAAAGACCAACATCAATCTCTCACTCTGTTCTTATTTTCAGCAAATGGGAGGTAGTATGTAGCCAGTCTCCTGACTCATGAAAGGCACAATTAATACTATAGCTCTGACTGATTTATATAGACAATTCCACATATAAACCCTGAGATTTCAATCTCACTTCTCTATTCGGAGGGTTTCTAAACTATTTCCACTCCTATGTGCATTTCACTTTTAGCCAGCAAAGTTGCAGGAGTGTACCCTAAGGACATAAGCACAGAAGTGTGGAATTATGAATGCCCATGGATACTCACTGCATGTTGATTTTGAGTATTTATTAAAGGTGCTAAAGATACAGTCATAAACAAAACAAAGATCCTTGCCCTCATGAAGCTTCTGTTCTAGAAGGGAAGATGAGCAATAAACAAAATATTAATGTGGGTAGAATGTATAGAATATTAGAAAAGGACTGAATGGGGAGAAATTGAGCAGGAGAAGATAAGATATATTTGGGGGGAGTGGGGTAACATTTTAGACCTGCTCATTCATGGAAGCCCTCCCTGGGAAGGTGACTTTTTAAAAATAAAATAAAATAAAACTTATAAGAGTTTATTTGAGCCAAAACGGATGACAATGCCAGGAAGTAAGATTTCAAATGCTTCCTGAGAAGGTGACTTTTGAGGAAGACCTAAAGTTGGCAGAGAAGCCAGATACTATCTGGGGGGAAAGCTTTCTAGGAAAGGGATCAGCAAGGGCAAATGTCCTGAGGCAGGTTCACACCTGGTGTGTTTAAGGGTCAGCAAAAAAGCCAGACATCTGGGAGGGAAAGGATAGAGGAGAGGATGGAAGCAAATAAGGTCAGGATAAGCCTGATAGGTCTTAGAAAATGCTGTCTCTATTCTGGGTGAGAAGAGAGGTCATTGGAGGGCTCTGAGCAAAAGACGTATTGGATCTAATTTGTGTTTTTGCAGGATCACTCTGGCTGTATGGGTGGGGCATGGGCAGAGGCAGGAAAACCACTTAGGTTGCTTGGACCAGGTTCGTGGCAATGAGGGTGTCAGTTGGATGCTGTCGAAGATTAGGTATATTTTGAAGGTAGAAATAGATTGTGAGATTTACTGAAGGATCAGACATAGAATAAGGAAAAGACAGAGGCCAAGGATGATGTGAGATTTCTGACTTGATCAACTAGAAGAGTGGTCGGCAAATTTATTAGTCAACAGAGCCAAATATCAACAGTACAACGATTGAAATTTCTTTTGAGAGCCAAATTTTTTAAACTTAAACTTCTTCTAAATCCACTTCTTCAAAATACACTCACCCAGGCTGTGGTATTTTGTGGAAGAGCCACACTCAAGGGGCCAAAGAGCCGCATGTGGCTCGCGAGCCATAGTTTGCCGACCATGGAACTAAAAGAATGAGCTTATCATTCAATGCGAAAAAAAAAAAAAAAAAAAATGTGCAGGAGCATTCCGTGGAAACACCAGAAGCTCAGTGTTGGACACATGAGATGCCTATTGGACAGCCACGTGGAGTTGTGTGGGTCTTGAATCCTGGCGAGAGATCCTGGCTAGATATAGAGATGTGGGAGTCACTCACTAGCATTTAGATCATTCTTAAAGTCATGAGACTAGAAGAGGTTACCAAGAGAGTGACTTAGAAACCTGAAGAGATTCCTGGGCTGAGCCTGGGGCACTCCAATATTCCGAAGTCAAGGAGATGAGAAGGAAAGGGCAAAATCCATGGCAGAGCAGGCAGACGGGTCAGGGAGAGAGTGGGCATGTGTAGTCCTCAAAGCCAAAAGAAGACAGAGTTTCAGGGGGAAACCAACTGTGACTGATGTTCTGACAGGTCAAGTAAGATAAAGACTAAATAGTTTCATTTGCAATGTGTGCTCCCTGGCCGGCTAAGTGTGTGGATTCAGTGGAGGTAGACCCAAGAGAGAAGGAGAGAGAAGTTTGAAGTGAGTGTACAAACACTTTAATGAGTTTTGCTCTAAGGGGAGGAAGAAAAAGGACCAGACCTGAAAGTGTGGAGGGTTTTTTTGTCAAGATAAACTAAGTCAAATAAATACCGAGTACTTTATTAGTAAAGTTACTACACACAAAATTTAAAAGCATATTTACAATAGCTCTCAGTTTTTTGCTGATTATCACCTTTCACCAGAGCAGAGTGTATGGAGAACCTAGATTTCATGAGCTCTGCATACACTGGCAGTGAGACCGAATGAGGGCCTAGCCTGTTTGGCTCAGTGGATAGAGTGTTCGTCTGCAGGCTGAAAGGTCCCGGGTTCGATTATGGTCAAGGGCATGTACCTTGGTTGCAGGCACATCCTCAGTAGAAGGTGTGCAGGAGGCAGCTGATCAATGTTTCTCTCTCATCTATGTTTCTAACTTTTTATCCCTCTATTTCTCCCTTCCTCTCTGTAAAAAATCAATTTCATATATATATATATATATATGGACTGAATGAGGAGTGTTTGGGGGGTCTGGGCTGCCAGGGTGTTTTTGTGTGCAGCTTCTGAGTTCATGCCTCCCTCTGTGCACGACTCCACCACCTCCACCTCTGGTTAAACCTCGGCTTAGAGGAAATCTCCAAATTGTATCTAGAAGCATGCACAGCCCTACACATGGTGAGGACAATGCTGTTTGTTAAGACTCTTGGTGACATTTAGAAATGAACTTGGGGGGAAATGTTAAGACTCCGAACATCTCTGAACCTGAGGTCAGTAATTTTTTTTTTTCCCAAATTGAGTTTCCAGGTTAATGCGAGCTCTCAGGAACATTCAAAGGCGCGCCTCGCCATCAGAAGCTAGTATTTTAAACAAACTCTACTACGAATACACTAAAATACCCTTACTGTAATTCCTCGTCTAGTTCTGCCACCTTCTTCTTTAGCTCCTGGTTGTCCTTGATTGCGGCGTGAGCCATGATTTCGGTCCTCATTTTGGAGGCGGACAGGGCTGCCGATTCTTCTTCCAGCTCCTGGACCCTGTCTCTCAGAGAGCTGAGGAGAGATGACTTTCTCGCGTTGTTCTCTTTGTAGTTCTCCATCTCGGCTTTCAGTTCCTGCCAGGAAGCTTCTTTAGAAAGCATTTTGGACTGGAGGTCTCGAAGCTTAATATGAAAAAGAAATGGAAAAACCAAAAGGATTTCAATGGCATAAGTTTGAAGAAACCCAAAACTGTAATTGCACTCTTTTATTCATGACCTCATCCACCTTTCCTTTCGTTTCTTCATGTATGCCTCTGTATGACCAGATGGGAACTTGTGCCTTAATAACAGACTTCATGTTCTGTTTTATTGCTTTTTTTTTTTCAAAACCAATTGAGCAATGCCTTGTGGCAATGTAGTCTCACTCCAGAGATATGTGTGGTGTGTTTTGCAAAAGGCAATAAAATATTTTGCAGTGGTGACCCACTTCTTAAATCCATATTACTGCTATTGCTGCTGAAATGAAACAAGGAGCCCGCATACTATGCTGTTTGTAATTTCATGGCCACAACCGCTTCCCTTACAGGATTCCTACAGAGGAAACATTTTGACTTCTATGAAGTCTGGCGCCAGAATGCTGCACAATGTATGTGCCCTGTTAAGTTATGCTATCAGGCCCACCCTATAAGAAACCATTATGAATGTATGTACTTCTTTGGAACTGTGAGCGTGCAGCACATATGTTTTCTCTCTCTCCCTCTCTCCCTCTTTCTCTCTCCTCCCAAATACATTAGCAACTCATTTTTCAGTAAGGTCCTGGCAGCCCAGTGCAACCGATACCCTGTTTCCCCGAAAATAAGACAGTGTCTTATATTAATTTTTGCTCCCAAAGATGTGCTAGGTCTTATTTTCAGGGGATGTCTTATCTTTCCATGCGTTAGGTCTTATTTTCGGAGGATGTCTTATTTTGGGGAAAACACGGTAGTTACCTCACAGACAAGCCCACAGGCTCCTCAAGCTCAAGGCCACCAGGCTGTGAGCAGAAATTCCACAGTGGACCTGATCCAGCCCGGAGGGGAGATGGACTCCAGTCCTCTTGCTAGAATTTCTTCCACAATCAGAACTGTCACGAGAAAGGGCTTTAGAATCCCCTCCTATGGGATCCAGCCTGCAAGCAATCCACCTTAAAGGGCCATGTTCCAGAAGAAGCTAACGGCCCTCCAAAAGCCAGGCAGCTGCAACCCAGAGAGCTCAGGGGCGCCCAGGCCTCTCAAGGCCGCGGGGCTTCTCTGAGATGGAGAAGGCAGCCCCGCCGCCTTGCAGAGCAGCATGACAAATGCGTAACCTTCAGGAACCCTCCACAGCCGGGAGCTAGGCGCACAGGAAGAGAATCAGTAGGTTTGAATCTGTGGCCTGCTGTCCTGTTTGTAGTCGCCTCTCTGCTCTGCTTTCCCCCACCGGAGGCTGAGAGTCCCAGTTCTGAGTTGGGAAGACATATATGCTTACCTCGGACTGAGCACATTCAAATTTGACCAGAGTTGCTGCAAGTTCACTTCGGGCGTGTTCGGCCACATTCCGATAGTGGTTTAATTGCTCCCGAGCGGCTGGGGCTTCCAAGAGATGGTCGTAAATCTCCTGATAGGGTTCCCCAGAAGACAAAACAGAGAGGAGAGTGAAAACAACCTTCCTGTGCAGCTGTGCGGAGCGAGATTGAATGCAGACGCGTCCTCGTGTGTCAGAACGCTGCCTAGGGGCGTGCTTTGCTCGGATATTTCATGCTCACCCCCAAAATGCTCAGGAGGCCGCCCGGAAAGAAGGATGTGCTCCCCGGGGAAGGCATTGAGAATTGGCCTGTGTCCCTTTAGAGATTCCACTCACACCCCTAGTGCTGCCCCTCACCCCCCTGCTCAAATACCATTTGGTCTCTGACCAGAGCCTATAGACAGCAAAGAACAGACAGAAGAGACGCCTTGGCACCTCACATGGGACTGGGAGGCAGTTTCCTCGGTGATGATTCATTCTGCTCTTCATTCTCCATCTCTGTCAGGATCCTGGAGGTGACCTGGATCACCGGAGGAGTCCTTCCCCATCCAGAAAGGAGCTGCCCACAGCCGATGGGGGCCGTTGCAGAAACACAGACCCCCAGCATGGCCGAACTGCCCCAATTTTTCAAGACAAGCCCTAAACCCAGATTTTGGAAGTAAAAGGCTGCAGTTTTTGCAGCTTGGCAACTAACTTTAAGTTTAAAAGAGAAGCACCGTGTGACCCAAATAAACACATCTGCAGAGCAGATCTGATGGGTTTGGTCTGCGTGGTACTCAAGGTCCCGTGTGGCACCCACACCATCACCCTGCTTCCTTCAGCTTGAGCGGACACTCACACCCGCCTCCACGGAGGTTCCAGGGCCTGTGGTCTTTGGGGAAGGCATACAGGAAAGCCACCCGTTTAAGGGGCTATGAAAGAGGTCACATAAAGGAGGATTTCCTGGAATTATCTAAGTGGGCCCAGGGGACACACCAGTAAAACCTGTTTATGACTGCCCAGCCACTCAACCGCCAAAGACTACTGTTTGGAAATACTCATGAATGCAAATGCCATTCTACAGCCCTTCACTTTCCAACAAGCGTTGTCATGGTCGGTGTGTTTCAGGCCAGGACATGCCAAACAAAACCTTCGGTGCACTTAGGAACAGCCAATGCATGCCAACCATAACACGTCCAAGAAGATGGTAGGTATGTGCTCCTGGGGAGAAGACATAAAACTTTTAACTGCATCTAATAAGAGAACCACATCCTGTTCGGCCTCACTCAGCCTTCAGGGGAACTTCTCCGCCCTAACCACCACAGCAATATTTTCTGAAATCTGCCCTGTGTAGTAAGGACCTGGGTCACTGAGGAGAAGTTGGAACTCTAATATGCTTGGCACACAAGTTATAAAATTCATTAAAAAAAAATAAGTTTGGCCTCACCAGTGTGGCTCAACGGTATAGAGCGACAACCCAGGAACCAAGAGGTCGTCAGTTCAATTCACAGCCCGGGGCACATGCCCACAACTTCAGGCTGAATCCCCAGTAGGGGGTGTGCAAGAGGCAGCTAACCAATGATGTTCCTCTTTCATCAATATCTCTATCTCTATCTCTATCTCTCCCTTTCTCTCTCTCTAAAAATCAACAAAAACGTGTTTTTAAAAACAAAAGAAAGAAAATAAGTTCTTCAATAACTATGGTTATCTCTTCCAGTGACTAGCGTCATTTTTCAGGCAGTGTTGTACCAAAATTTTACATTTCCTTCTTATGAAAATATAGTGTGTCCATTGAACATACTATTGAGAGCCACAGAAGACAGTTCAGACATGGCCCTTCATTGTAGGAAATTACAATCTAATGCAGACACTACCAGAAGCATTAACATCTTCAAATGTCCATCGGTGAAAGAAACTACACATGGAGATGTCATTGCTTCTGATACTGGGTCGGGGCCTAAATTACAAAGACGAAATTAATGGGTTTAGAAGACCATTGCCAGGTCAACGTCCAGCAGACTGGAGATTATCTACACTAATAAAAGAGAAAGATGCAAACTGACCATACTTTCATGACGCCCACCAGCTAATCAGGAGTGAGTATGCAAATTAACCCAACAAAGATGGTGGGTTAATTTGCATGCCAAGGCACTGAGCAGCCAGGGTCAGGATGCTGTGTCTTTGCCATGGTGACGACACAGGTGTTCTGCCCTGCCCCGGTTGCTCAGGGCCTCTGGGCAGCGTGGGTAGGCAGAAAGGCAGCTCCAGTCAGAGCTGGCAGCCAGGGGAAGAAAGGCCTATTCTTGCACGAATCTTCTTGCATTGGGCCTATAGATTATCAATAATATTTACTGAAGGCCTACTCTGGGTCAGGCACTGAGCTTCCTGTCTCAAAAGAAAAACATCATTCATCAAACCACCACATTAATGACTGAATAATTACAAACTGAAATGAATGCAAGGGAGGAGAGAATGAAGCAGATAACAAAGGACAGTGGCTTAAGACTCAGGAAGTGGGAAGGAAAGATTTCCCTAAAAAAAGTGATGATTAGTAGGAATTAAAAAAGGCAAAGGGTACTGAAGCAGGAGCAACACACATCATTCCAATAGCAAAAAGGACAAGCAATGGTCCTGTGGCAGACATACGCCCTGTGTGCTCAAGGGTCTGAGAGAAGGCAGTGAGGTTGAAGGACAAAAACAGATGAAGCACCGTGGGGGCAGGGCTGCTAAGGCTGTTGGGAGCTCATTCATATATTCTGGGACATGATAGGGCTTCTTTTTTCCAGAATACTCTAGATACTCCTACTTGTGCATTTTACCATGTGAAATTCAGAGTTAGCTTGACAAATTCCCAAAAACCCTGTTGGATTTTTTATTGGGACTGTGTTAATTTTATAAATAAGTTTAAGGAGAATTGACATCTTTTAAATGTTGAGTCTTCCAAATAAAATGTTTTTTTCCATTTGTTCACGATTTATATGCCCCTTAGCTAGGATGACTAATTTTATGTGTATACTTGACTGAGTCACAGGGTATCCAGATATTTGGTTAAACACGATTCTGGGTGTGTCTGTGAGGGTGTTTCTGGATGAGATTGACATTTGCAATGGTTGAGTGAGTAAAACAGATTGCCCTTGCCATGGGGGAGGGGGGATAAGGGGGGGGCCCCCTCATCCAATCCACTGAAGGTTGAATATATCAATAATAGAACAGGAAGACTGAGCAAGAGAATTTTCTCTCTCTGTCGGAAGCTGGGACATCAGCCTCTTCCTGACGTTAGACTCAGACTCAGGGTGGGACTTACCCATCAGCTCCCCCGGGTCTTCAGCTCACCAAAGGCAGATCTTAGGACTTCCCAGCCTCCATTATTGCAGAAGCCAATTCCTTATCACAAATCTCTCTCTTTAAAAAGCTCAAAGAACACAGGAGTGCATTTACGTACAGCTAGCTTTTCTCTTAGCCCTTCCTTTCAATCCCATAGACGCTCACGGAGTCTTCTTCATGGCTATCTTGCAGACAGTCTTCAATTTGGCTTGGACTTCTCTGACCTGAGTTAAGAGCTTTGCAGCGCTGGTGACCCTTTGTTTTCGGGGTCTGTTAGGGATTTCTGCGACATGGCCCTGTGCTCAGAGAACACCGTTAGCATTTAGGAAGGACAGTCACTGGTGTACACCAGTGTGGTGGCCCACTGTCCACGCAGAACTGGGTCCACCCAGACTGTAAAGCGTCCTTACGGTACCAGCCATTGTGTATCTGCACCATCACCCTTCCCATGTTATTCCTACTTCAGGGAATTTATTGAGTCTTCTGTGAATGCTCCGTTTTATGAGTGCTCCATGGGCACTGAAACGGAAGGCGTATTCTCTGTCTGCTGGACTTTGAGTTCAATATGTATCGATTGGTCCTCCCTTATTCATTATTTTAATTAGGCACCTCTAGTTTCCCTGATTTCCATCATAGCTGAGCGGTGAGGTCTCCTATTACTACTGTAATTCTTTATCACCTTAAAGCAGTTGTATTCTTGCCTCAGGCGGGCTGGAGCTGTTTCACTCGGTGCAATTCAGAACTTCCATCTCTTCCTTGTGGATTATATCATGCAGCATCAGAACCTGCCTTTACTCGTCTTATTTCATCCTTTTCTGCTCAGAGTCCAACCTTTTCTGATATTGAGATCATGATCCCTGGTTCCTTTTGTTTGCATCTGATGACACATACCTTTGTTCCATCTTTTTATTTTCTTTTTTTAAGTATGCTTTTTAAATTGATTTTTCAAATTCAGAGGAAGGGAGAGGGAGAGAGAGCCAAACATCGATGAGAGAGAAACATCAATTGGTTGCCTCCTGCTGGGTATCGAGCCGACAACCTGGGCATGTGCCCTGACTGGGAATTGAACTGGTGACCTCTTGGTGAATGGGATGATGATCAACCACTGAGCCACACCAGCCAGCCCCATCTTTTTATTTTCAACCTTTCCATATCACTTTGTTTCAGGAGTCTCTTCTATATATACAAAAACCTAATATGCAAAGTGTCCGCTGGGGAGTTCAACTGACTGAGTTCAATTGCTTGCTATGATGTACGCTGACCACAAGGGGGCGGCGTGGAATGAAGGAAGGCCCCGGCTGACAGCTGGCAGCCAGCAGCCGGCAGCCGCTTGAGACCCTACCCATGCATGAACTTTGTGCACTGAGTCTCTAGTGTATAAATAAAGTTGGGTTTGGCTTTGCGGTCCATTCTAAATTTCTTTTTCCCTTACTGGATGACTTTACTACAATTATATTTGCTACTATGATAGATAATCTTGGTCTTAGTTCTGCTGCATTGTTTCATATTATGCTTCTTTATTGCTCTTTCAAAACCTTTCACTACAGTATCTTACTCTGATATATTTCATGTATTTCATCTGATAATTAGGAATGTCTGTATTTTGCTTCTAGTTTCAACTTTATAACTTTAAATAATACCTTTGGATACATTTCATTCCTCTATTTCTTTAGATAATATTCACTAACTCACTACAATGGCATATCTTATCCCTACTTCCACCTTCTAAATTTTTTATCTTTAGACTATCATTTTCAGTACTTCCCTTGCAACTATAGCTATAAGTTATT